TGCACATGCATTTCTAATCTCTAAATATCTGATTATTACTAGTCACAGTTGGTTATTTTCTGAGCTTCTAGGCAACTGAGCATGGATATAAAGTCATCAGGTAGATTTCAATGGTAATGTTTTTCACATCTACTAATTATTATTTTTTAATCATTATTTTTTAATTTTTTTTTTCATCTTTTAATAAAAGGCATTTGACGCGAGTTTGTGTGAGATGCTAGTGGCATTTTTTCCCAAGGGCTAACTTAATTTTCTCTCTTTGACCAGAGTGGGGCAGTGTGATCAAAGAGTTTCCTTGCTGTATTCCGAGGTAGATACAGGCCTGGAACAAGCTAACAGCAGTTCTCAGTCAGGATGGAATTTATTAAGCACATTTCCAGTCACGTTTGTTCTTAGGGTGATAGAAACAATGAAGAATTGTAAGCTTTGTGTTTCACAGTAACCCTAGTTCAGCAGAGCCTGGTTAGAATGTTCTCTCTTGCAAGCAGAACAACAAACACAAGCCTCTGGGTAACAGAGACCACGTCACAAAGGGTATGTCATCCCTTGAGCTGACTGCTGATGTGGTGAGACTCAGTTGTATGCAATGCTTTTTCCCTCAGCCTTTGTTAACTTTATGTTTTGTAATGAACTCTGCTGAAGAGATTTCTTTTCCTTTAATGTTTGAAAAGGGAGAAAATAATTTCTCTCAAATGTTTGCATATAGTAACTAGAGATGACCGCCATAGGCTGGCTCTTCCTGTTTTGTTTTATTTTTAATGTGAAGTTGCCTACACTAATGTTATCTTCTTTTGGAATGAGTACTCAGCAACTTGTTGATTATGATCAAGTTCCAACCTTATCATTGTGGAGATCATGGTTACAACTGTAAACGTAGATACAGAATTACTGTTTTTGTTACTTTTCATTGGTAGATGTTTGACACATACCTTAACATCTTCCTGAGCTGAGCTGTATTTCTACATATATTTTCACATATTTTGGGGATGTTTTGAGTTTACTGAAAATCCAATTTTTTAAAGATTTATTTTTTTATTTTATGTGCACGCATATTTTGCCTGAAAATATATATGTGCAGCACATGCATGCGTGGTACCTCTGTAGGTCAGAAGAGGGCATCAAGATCTCCTGGAACTGAAGTTACAGATGATTATGAGCCCCTGAGTGGGTGCTGAGAACTGAACCTGGGTCCTCTGCAAGAACAGCCAGTCTCCTCTTAACTGCTGAGCTTTCTCTTCAGTCCCAATCTTTGTGTTTTAAATGAGGCCAAGTGGTTATGCAAATACACGTGACTCTCTCTCTCTCTCTCTCTCTCTTTTCTCTCTCTCTCTCTCTCTCTCTCTCTCTCTCTCTCTCTCTCTCTGTGTGTGTGTGTGTGTGTCTGTGTGTGTGTTTGAATATATTTCCTCTCAATATTCATTTTTCACTTAATGGGTTAAAACAATGAAACAGGATTATGCATGAGAATTAAATGACGTACTCAAGATTTTAACATAACTGGCATGGGATTGGAATTTATGAATGGTTTACTTTATAGTATGTATTTAAAAAAAATACTATATTACTTAATACCAGAGAGTTGAGCATATGTTTTCTGGCAGTCTAGAATGCAGTTTTTAGAAATGTAAGCATAGTGTTGTTTAGCATTCAAAGCCCATAGGGATTTGAATGTTTATATTGTATGACTCACACCAATTCTAGCAGGAGTTTTTTCTTATATTAAAAGGTAAAAAACAACTACTAGATTTTAACTGAGGTATTAAAACTGCTCCGGCATTTGGTGCTCTCAACAAGAGCTCCATTGTTAGTGTGCAAAGATCGACCCCTGCAGCTGCCCCTCGGGCTCCCTGGAGGAAGAGGTGCCTCACCAGGGCATATGGCTCAAGTGGGCAGATATACTTGCTCAGTTTTGGTGGAAACATAGTAATTTAATAGTGCATTGCCACCCGGAAATATAAAATTGATTCATGAGATGTTATTTTTATCCCATAAAAATGTATTCTCCCCCAGTGTCATTTTGAATAAACTACATCTCCTTTCCTAACATGACTTGTTCTATGTGTGTGCTATAGCAGCCCTCCCCAAACCTACTCTTGGAGTCAGAGAAAAACATAGTACCTTATTGATCCTAATCGTGACACCATTATTCACAACATGCATCTAACATCAGATGTGTAAAATGTGAAAGAAAAATGCTTAGAACTAATGAAAGAAGGTGAATAGGGTTCCTTATTACCTAACCTATGGAGTGTTTCTAATGGGATTAACAGATACTAAAACATTATTTTTGTTTGTTTTTTGGAGGTCTTGGGCATCAAGCCCCAAACCTTGTGTGTATTAGGCAAGCGCTCTATCACTGAGCTAACCTGTCATCCCTGGATGCTACACTATCTTAATGGAATTTTGTAATAATTTCTGAATGCAGCAGACACTCTAGCTGGCTATTCAGTTTTTACTATCAATTTCTTTATGGGGTGATATTTCCTTTGTGTCATCTACTTGGGCAAAATATCCATCAATTGTCCATCTGCACTTTATCAGTAGTTACTTAATGGCCTGCTCTGATTCTTCACCAACAACATTTGCTAGTTTCAGATTCAGCCCAAGCTAGGGGATCATAAACAGAGCTAGAGGAGTCAGGCACCAACCAGTCTTACTGATTCTCTGCCTAATTCTAGCAATTTTGATTTTGTCCAAGTCCTAATAGAAGAATTTCATGTTGGATTAGGCCACTGGGCATGACAAAGAATGAATTTCTCAATCTAAGCATAGGACATTGATGGAGAAAGTCACAGAAACATTTGTAGGCTTAGACTACTTAGCTGGAGTGCTTCTGCTAATCTCTTTCTATGGTTCTGCTGGCCTTTTTACTATCTGGTTGGCTCTTACTATGTAAAATTTCTTTATATAGATTCCAATTATAAATGTATTTACAGAAATGCTAAAAAATGACTAAGGACCAATTATGACCTCATTCTCTCAGAGACAATCACTGTTAAAATTTTGGTTAGTGTGCTCAGATTATATATATTTTTAAATTTTTTTTCCGGAAGACTGGGAAAATTCTTTCCCAATACTTTTTTTCCTTCTGGGAAATTTAAACAGATAATCTATGCGTGTGATCCAGGATGTGTTGGGTATGAGACCTCACAGAAGAGGGGTGACTGGGGAAAATTGCCAGATGGTGGTGACATTTCAGTGTCTTTAGTTTGTGGTGCTGGGACATTTCATCACAACAGCTGTTCCACAGCCAAGGAGAGCAGAGAGATGGTTGAACTGAGCCTGGGCTGAGGCTCTGCTAGGAATCTTTAGCAAAAAGCCACAATACCAGAGGAAGATACAAGGTTGATGGAGTGATACTCAGGCTGGGATGTGTAGGAAAGACACTGAGGAGAGGTGTTCTTGAGAAGTGAAGTGAAGAAGTCACGGGGCTTCAGGTACTGAGGGTCAAGAGCACATAGTGCTGTGTGCACACAGACGCACACTGAACACGCCCTTCTGTACGAGGGTTGAACTAAATATCTACAGACACAGACTTCCAACGGGCTTAGTAAGGTGATAGAATTAGACTAAGTCATCTCTATTTCACATTTAATTTTATTATTCTCTTGTTTATTCTGGATGATGACAAGGGTATGTGGAGGAATAAGCAAGTCACTACTTACAACCACAAAAATGGGAAGATATGTTTTCAAAATAATGTGGTATTACATTTCCCACTCCAGATAGGAGGCTGGCTTCTAAGAAAAACACAAAAAAAGTGAGAATAAACACACGAGCAGTTGTGTGGGCCTGCCTCTTGAGGTTGTGAACAGAGTCCAATAACTAAGCCCAGACTTTCAAGTAGAGGCTAATCTACAGAAATTATCATCTACCCTGAAAGCTCACAATTATGTCATTAAATCACAATCAAGGGTATTAGAAGGAGTAATTCACTCAGAAGAAAAACTTTATGGGAAGAAAAAAAAATCCTAAGCACTCACTGTAGGGAGGTCTCCTAAGGCTTTGGAAAATCAAGCATTTCAGCTCATTAGGCCTTTATTTCACAAGAACAGCCCAAGAAATGTTCTTCCCTTAATCTGAAGACTTAAGATTTGAGCCCTTCTTATCTATAAGAAGGCCTGACATATTCATAAGAAAATGGTCAAATTATCTAAGGAGATAATTGCTAAGTTTTGTTTTATTTTGTTCCTTAAGGAGTCAATTCCAAGCTTCAGTTTGAAATCATGCCAGGGCCTTTCTTTGGGTTGTTTGAAATCAATCGTGACACGGGAGATGTGGTGACAATGGCTACATTTGACAGAGAAACTCAAGAAGTCTTCACGCTTCGAGGTAAGGGACTCATCTCCCACTCTGTAGCCTCAAAAGATCCAGAAAGGTCACCAGTGGGATTTAACATTTCTGTAGGATGTCTTAAGTGAAATATTATTGACCCAAGACTATCCAGTTAGCTTAGTTTGACACTGTGTAACCAGAATGGTACATCTTAGACACATCTTAATAGTCACAATCCATCCTTACTTGTATTCCTGTCAGTACTTGTGAGAGACGGAGGAGTCCCTTCGCTCTCCAGCACCACAGTGATTGTCTGCACCATTGAAGACGAAAACGATCACGCACCAGAGCTTATTTTCTCCAGTGACAACATTGAGGTTCTAGAAAACCAAGAGCCAGGGCCTGTCTACACTGTGCTGGCTTTTGATATGGACGCTGGAAATAATGGAACCATCACATATCACATATTTGGTAAGTATTTGAAAATTAACTTTCCAGGGTACTGAGCAAGTAGGTGCACACTGTGTGGTGATTCTTCTGTATTGTTTTGTTTGTTTTTTCTCTACAAAACCCACTGAGCACTGCTAACCTCCCTGGGATTCCTCTCTATCCTGTACCACTCTGAACAACTACCTTCAAAATCCTGTAAAATGACCTATCTTTGCTGGATGTGGTGGCTCACACCTTTAATCCAGCTAGCTTAGTCTACATAGGGAGTTCCAGGCCCGCTAAGGCTGCATAGTGAGATTCTGTCTCAAATCAAAACTAAGACCAAACCAAACCAAACCAACAAACAAAAAACCTGTCCTTGAAAACACTTGGGAATTTGCTTCTGTACTGGAGGATATACAGATGGAAAATATGGGTTTTGTCCTGGTTTTGCTTCTTTGTATGATTACTTATTTTAGTTTTTACATCTTTAATTAATATTTCTTCCTTATATCTTGTCAGAATCTATCATAAGGAAGCAGATTTTTATTCTTAAAAGATATGCCAGGTATGGAGGTATGTGCCTTCAATGCCAGCACCTGAGAGTCAGAGTCAGGCAGATTTCTCTGAGATCGATTCCAGCCCTGTCTGCCCAGTGAGTTCTTAGGGCTACGGGAGATACTGTTTCAAAATAAAAGATATATTCTTTAAGATATTTGAAATTTCAATAAATTCTAAACTTAAGTTATTTTAGATTGAGTTATTGTGATTATTGAAAATTAAAATAAGAAAGACATAGTCCAAGTTCTCTCTAATAGCTCCTAGATACAAGGTGACAAATTGTATTGGAAACGAGTCTCTTAATAAAATGTATTTTTTTTATATTTTTGAGAGAGGGTCTCCCCACTAGTCCCAGCTGACCTGGAACTTGCTATGTAGACCAGGCTAGCCTTGAACTCCTGAGTGCCATTTTGGTTCTCTTACCCCAATTAGTTCGTGAATATGGGGACGCCTTCCTTTCTTCCTTTCATCCCTCCCTCTTTCTTCCATCCCAAAGTCTCATTATGTTGCTCACAGGTTGGCCTTGAACTCTTGTGCACTTTTCTAAAATTCTTTTTTTGGTTCTAAGAATGGAATTTAGAATTCAGGACTTTAGACATGCTGAGTTCAAGCTCTACCTCTGAGCTGCACTCCCATCTAGCCCCTTGTGTAAATTTTGATCGCAGGGAAGCCATTGTTCGTTAGAAGTGAAGTTAATTATTGAGCTTTTTATGAGTTATATAACCCTGAATAAATGAATAGTCCTTATTTTCATTTGAGAGAAGGATGGTGATAAAGGCGAGTTTGGAAAAGGTAAACCTTTACTTATCATCCTAGGTGAGTTCTCAGGCAAAACCATTTTAGCAATAGGATATATAAACTAAACTTCTGGGCACTACCTTAAAGCTGTGTTGATAGTGATTCCTTAGATCTTCATATTTCATAACCCCTGACATAGAGATCACTGTAAGAATGATTGATCATCATCATTCATTTTTATTGTTAGCATTTTGTCACAAGCAAAATACTTGAGATACTTTTGAAGGGACAAAGATTATTTTGGTTTACACTTTCAGAGCTTTCAGTTGATGATTGATTGGCCTTTGGCTTTGGGCCTGTAGTGGCACATCATGGTGGCTGTACTTGACAGATGAAGCTTACTTCATGAACTAGGGAGCACAGGAGCAGCAACAGAAGGGGTCAGGTTCCCACACTCTCCTTCAAGGGTACATTTCCATGACCCGAAGACCTTATCAAGCCTAGTGTCCTGAAGGTTCTTCACTGCCCAACAGTACCATGTGGGGGACAAATTTTAACACATGGGTATTTGGGGGCTGTTTAACATAAAGCTCAAGGATTTACCTAAGCTAACCGTGAAACTGATCTTTCCTCCCTTATTCCTTGCTTTTCTACATGTGCATCCCGAGAGTGCATCCATTTATTTCCTCATGTCCACATTTCAGAATCTCCTCCTCCCTGGCTTCTCAATCACAGGTTACTGAAACACCCTCCTTGATTTCTGTGGTCTAATGAAACTTGACCTTGCTGCCTCTGTCTTCCTCCTAAAATAGAAACTTGATACATGACTGTCTAAAATCTTTCAAAAGCCTCCCATAAATTCTGAAATAAAGTATAGATCCTTTTTGATTCGACCCCTGCTTACCTCCGAAATTCATGTCTTCACCTGTGCCAACCTGTTCCCTGTTCACTACGTGCAAATTCCCAGTGAAGCCCAATTTCTAATCACTCCAAGCTATATACAGTCTATTAAGTGCTGAGATGCCTGGGACTTCCTGTATATTCTTTGCATAGATTACTGTCTTCAAAATGTGTAGTCTGCCGGGCGTGGTGGTGCACGCCTGTAGTCCCAGCACTTGGGAGGCAGAGGCAGGCAGATCTCTGTGAGTTCAAGGCCAGCCTGGTCTACATAGTGAGTTCCAGGACAGCTGGGGCTACAGGGAGACCCTGCTTCAAAAAGACAAAAAAAAAATGTGTAGTCTGTCTTCTTCCCCTTTAAGCATGAATTTGATGCTATTATTCCTGCTAGTATTTCGTAGCCATCCTAATAGGTAATATGCATCCTTCCCTGGTGTACCTCAGTCTGTTGAATATAAGTTTTTGCAGCATACTCTAATGTCTGGCTTATGACCTGCCTTTCCTAGATTGTAAGATCTTTGGAGCTTGATCATATGCTGAACTCTTCCTCATATTCCCAGTATCAAATACATTGTAGTATACAATAAAAGCTCATACTTGGCACATAGTAAGAGCTCATTAAATGTTTACTGAATGAATTAATTGTTGTCAGTCACAAATATGATGTAATTTGTCTGGTTATCTTCACTTTGGGTGCAGATTAACTGTGCCATACAAATATAAAGTGAGGTGAGCCCCAACACCAGCTACCGTCATTGCTTTTTCTGACCCTCACTCCACTTTGTTTCAGTATGCCTTCGGCACTTAGAAGCTGGTAAGTCTCCACACTGTTGGGACAGTATGTTTATCTTGCCATTCATCCACAATATGGTGAGGAGTCTTCCAACCATGTTTCTCCTCAGTAATTGATGGGATGACTTTGAAACATTCTGTCTCTGTGTTCTATTGTAACTTTTACTGGAGTTGGTACAGGGAAAACAGTAAAGGGCAAGATTTTTTCTAGTATACAGAGGTGATGAAAATACTGTCCTTGCTCATGTCATGGGAAAACTAGACAGGTATTCAGCCAACCCTAACAAAATGTTAAGGCTCACACATGAGGTGCCAAGGGGACATAGAGAATATACAGAGCAATGGTATATAACCAGTATAAACTCAGTAGCTAGTGACATTTGGAAAAATTATTATAATCTATTAATGATTTAAAAATTTTTAAATAGTTTTACTTTATGTGTATGAGTGTTTTTTCTGCATACATGTAAGTGCACCACGTTCGTGCAGTGCCCACAGAGGCCAGGAGAGGACATTTGATCCCATGGAACTGAAGTTAGGGCTAATTGTTAGTTGCCATGTGGTGCTGGGAACCCAACCTAGGTCTTCTGCAAGATCAGCCACTGCTCTTAACCTCTGAGTCATCTCTCCAGCTCCTACCTGTTAATTTTTAATTGACAACCAAAAAAAAAAAAAGGACTTTGTAGCCTGCCTGTTTCTTGTCCCTGGATCTTGTTTTATTTCAAATAAAATGAACATTTTAGTGGTAAGGGGGAAATGTATGATTATTAAAAGTTGCAGATTCACACAAAAAATCAGATTGCTCCCTATGATTCAAGATACATATTGAATTACGCTATTTATCCCTCTGATAGAAATTTTGTGACAAAAATTAGGGAGTTTCTCATGCTCAGTGTTCACAATCTTTAGAAAAGTACCAAGATATAATAATCAGGAAATAAATATTTTCAGTGACTAAATAGATAAATGCAGATAATGCTAGCAAATGGATAGATTTAAAATACATTTTCAATTGTTTTCTCGAACAGGTGGAAATGTTGATGGGTACTTTGCCATTCATGTGACCTCAGGAGAACTCTCAACAACTCGCCCTTTGGATCGGGAACAAATCAACAATTTTACCCTCATTATCCTGTGTTCAGACATGGGGACTCCACCTCGGAGTTCTTTGATGCAGTTGAAAGTTAGGGTCTTAGATGACAATGACCACAGCCCTTCCTTTCCCATGCTTCATTACCAGGCCCCTGTGAGAGAAGATGCTGAGGTGAGCTCTGTGGTCCTTATGCTCTCTGCTGTGGACAGAGACGAGGGCCTCAATGGACAGATAGAGTATTTTCTGATGGAGGAGACTTCTGGTGCATTCACTATTGATCTTGAAACAGGAACCCTGAGAACTAGGCATACTCTTGACCGAGAAGCCACATCTCAGCACATTTTCCAGGTCATGGCCAGAGACCGAAGCATCCAAGACTCAAGAAGCACCACGATAACTGTACAAGTATCTGTCACTGATGTTAATGATAATGATCCGGTTTGGGAACAGAATCCCATTGATGCTTTTCTTTCCCCTAATCTGTCCATAAACCAAAACGTTGTTCATCTGAGAGCCAGTGACCCAGATGCAGGGCCCAATGGAACTGTCATTTTCAGTTTTACAGACACCCAGTCAATGTTTTCTATTGATGAATATACAGGAGAAGTTAAACTTCAGCAAAATCTATCTTCAGAATGTTTTCCTATCTGGGTGCAGTTAAAAGTCACAGATCAAGGGGTCCCAGGGAGGACAGCCACTGGTCTCTTGGTCATTCACATGGAAGGAGAAAATAGAAAGATTTCCTTCAGCCACCAACTATATAAAGGACTCGTGAATGAAAACTGTGAGGCAGGTAAGTGTACCCTTAAGTGGTTTTTGTTGTTGTTGTTGTTTTTGTACTATACTAGCTTGAGCAAAATGCTTTAATGTACATTGTACAAGATTGACATTGCCGATTCTGTTGTAAACTTATGAGTCTGGCAAAATCTTGATATTGGAAATTCATAATCAGTATATTTCCATTAGTTCTCCAACACTATAATGAAATACCTGAGTCAGTAAACTTACAAAGAGAGGACCTCTCATTTGGCTCATGGTTGTGGAAGTTTGAGTGGAAGGCTGAGTGGCTCCATGGCTTTGGGCCTCTAGTGAGGGCAGTATCATGGTAACAATGTAAGACAGAGCAAATCACTCACCTCATTATCCAGGAAGCAGACTGGGAGTACAGAGCAGAAAAACATTCCCCTCTGAAGGCACATTCCCAGGGACCTCACAGTTGCTCATAAGACCTGCATCTCAAAGGTTCCACCATCTCCTAGTAGTACCACCTTGGATTTAACCAAACTTGTAACACACTGGACCTTTGGGGGATACCAACATCCAAAATAGCCATGGCAATAGTAGTCTAGTCTGAAATAAAATCTTAAGGCAGAATGCAATGAAGACCAAACCTTCTTACTTCTAAACTTAGGTCTTCCTACTTAAGACTTGGTTTAAAAAGCCAATAAAGGAGTGGGGAGACTTCACCTTCCTGTTTCCATGTTTTCTTAACTCCTGATTGTCCTTCTCAGTTTTATATCTAGAATTAAATTTAAAATACTATATTTTAAGTAGAACTTTGTATTCTAAAATTGTGCCTATGGAGCCTTAATCTTAAGTAAAGCTAGCTAGAAATGGCTCTGAATGTAATGCATGCAGAGGAGACGTCTGAAGCCGTGAGTTGTGACCTGTCTTTGAAGAGTAAGTTTGACATGCAGAAGATGTAGACTCCAAGCTGCCAGGTAAACCCAAATAGTATTTGAAACAGGAAAGGAAAAGGAAGAAGAAAAGAATGACAATTCAGAATGCTGTTGAATCTGATCAGAGTAAGTGACTGGATTGGTAGAGTTTCCCGGACTCTTTGATAAACAAGGATATTAACGTTTAAAATAAATATTTATAATACATTTATAATTGTTTGGCACTTGGTTCTTACTGTTGAGAAATCTGCAGGTTCTGGTTTTGGTTAGCACTGTATTCATCCAATAAGAACATTAAACTTCACGCCTATATACTCGTTTCTTTTTCATCACTAGGACATAATATCTGACACACACAACGTAAAAGTATTAAATAATTATTTTAGCTCATATTTTCAGAGACTTCAGGTTGTAGTCCTTGACTCCTTGGAGTTTAGGTCTGTGGAGAGACAAAACATCACCGTGAAGGCTGCTTATCTCTTGGTGGACAGGGAGAGAGGGAATGCCCGTGTTCCCTGGCTCCCCGTGTTCCTCCTTGCCTACCATCTACCATCCTGATGTCAGTCTATTGGATGGTGCTGCTCACATTCCAACCAGGTGTTTCCCACCCCTTTGCTCTCCCACAAGCCAGCCCTTTCTGGAAGCACTCTCAGAGGTGCACCCAGAAGTGTGCTTCACTAATCCCCTAGAAATATTTCAGTCTAGTCAAATTGACAGTCACGATTAACCATGACCAAGCCATGCTTAAAACAATAGTTGCCATTTCAAAAGGAAGCCCTTTGGGGGCTAAGATCTCTTTAGGAGTCTGATGTGAGGTGTTCACTGAACCACATACAGAGCGTCCCCCAGAGATGTAGTTGCTTGGTAAAGAGGGTTGGTAGGTCAGTGAGATAACAAGAGAAGTGGTCCATGAGTCTCCACAGCCCTCTACTGCTGCCCCTTCGGCGTATACCCTCGATTTTCAGTCTGGATTACAGGGGATTTAGCCATATTCACATTTTTTCTAATTTCCAATTTCATTGAATTTTTAATTTTTAATTTTTATTTTATTGACTTTTGGTATATAAAATAGCAAGTTTCATTATGACGTTTTCATGCATCTCTGTCATTGGACCCTGGTCACATTTGCTTCCCACTGTGCTCCTCTGTCCCTCTTCTGCACTTCAGCCTCTCCTGTTACCCTTTCTACCCTCAAAAAGTCACTCTTCTGCCTTCTGTTTTCAAGTACACACACATATGCTCACCCCCCACACACATTGTGTATTTAAATCCCAATTCCCAGTATGAGAGAAAACATGTAATATTGTTTCTTTCCCCCATGACTCTATTGCTCCTCTCTACTCCCTTTATTTAGCCTTTTCCTCCTCCCCGTAGCCCTCCCCCACTCATATTTTATATCACATACATGTTGTATCACATAGATATGGATTTCACATATGAGAAGAAATGTGATGTTTGTTTTGTACAGTGTGGCCTATTTCTCTAAGTATGCTAATCTCCAGCTATGTTTTATAGCAAATGACATCATCTCACTTTTTTCTTTACAGCTGAATAACACTCCACTGTATATGTGTTATATATGTTCTTTTATCCAATTACCCACTGACGATCAGAGTAAGTTATTGTGAATACTGGAGTCATAGACATGAATGTGCTGGTGTCTCTGGGATGCTTAGTTTTCTTTGTGTTGATACCCTGGGGTGGTTTAGATGGATCATATAGTAGTTCTATTTTTAGTGTTTTGAGACAGCTCCACTGATTTTCCTGTCCACTAGCAATGAATAAGTGTTGTCTTTGGCACCATCTTCATCAGCACTGGTTGCCATTTGCTTTCCTGGTGATAACCATTCTAACAGGGAATATGGAAGCAGTTTTTTACATTTTCTTGGTGGCAAAATATATTCACCATTTTTTTGAATATGTATTGACTATTTGTATTTTTCTTTCTGAACTCTCTTTAATGTGTTTGCTCATTATTTGGACTGGATTATTTGGGGTTTTGGTGTTTAATATTTGATGTTTTTTAATTTTTGAAATTCTTTATAAGTGGACAATTATTTCCTCGCATTCTGTAGACTGTCTCTCTGCTGTTTCTTCTGCTATGCAAAAACTTTCTATTTTCATGGACTCTGACTTGTTTCTCCTTACAGTTATATCCTGAGCTTTCTGAGTCTCTTACAAAAAGTCTTTGCCTATGTCTATAATTCGAAGTGCACAGTAAGAGATATGGCTCTAGTTTCATTCTGCTCCATGTGGGTATTCAGACACTGTCATTTCCCTAATGTATGCCTTCGACACTTTTCTCAAAGTTAGGCAACTGTAGGGATGTGGGTCCTGTTTCTGGGTCCTCTTTTCTGTTTCATTGATCTATACATCTGGGTTTTTTTTGTTGTTTTTGTTTTGTTTTTTTTGACAGGGTCTCCCTAGTTCCAGCCCACCTGGAAGTCAGGCTGGCCTTGATCTCAGAGAAATCTGCCTGCCTCTGCCTTCCAAGGGCTGGGATTAAAGGTGCACACCACCACGCCCAGCATTATTACTATGGCTCTATAGTACAATTTGAGATAAGACATTGTAGTAGCCCCAGCATTTCTCTTTCTACTTAGGATTGCTTTGTCTATTTAGGGTCTCTTGTACTCTCATGTGGATTATAGATCGATGGGGGTTGAATTGAATCTGTAGATTGCTTTTGGCAACATAGACATGTTTACAATATTAAATTTTTCAATCCGTGAGCATGGGATGGCTTTCCATCTTCTAGTCTCTTCATTTTTTTCTTCAGCTTTTTAAAAGTGTCATTGTAGAGAATTTTTCACTTCCTCAATTAGGATTAATCCTAAATATTTTGTTTTAAAAAATTACTATGGAGGCTGAGACTGGGGAGATGGCTCAGTAGGTAAAGATCATGTGCTCTGCAAACCTGAGGACCTGAGTTTGAATTCTTAGCATACTTGTTAAAAGCCAGCCATGACTGTGCACAGCAGTAACTCCAACACTGGGAGGAAGAGGCAGGCAGATCTGAGGAAGGTTCTGACTAACCAGTCTAGTCAAAATGGCAAGTTTCTTGTTCAGTGAGAGACTCTTTCCCAAGGTAATAAAGTGGTAATAAAGGCACCTGCCTTCCTGCTCTGACTTCTGCATGCACGGACACAGGTACATGTACCCACACACTCAGGTGCAACACACACACACACACACACACACAATTATGAATGAAATTTCTTTCCATGATTTCCTTCTCCACATGTTCATTATTGGTCTGTATAAAAACTGCTGACTTTTATGTGTTGATTTTATATCATCATGTTTTGCTTTGAGTGTTTATCAAATCTAAAAGTTTTCTGGTAGGGTCTTCAGGGTAATTCAATCACAGGATCATGCTGTCTGCTAATAGCGATATTTCGATTTCTTCCTCTCCTGTTTGTACCTTGTAAATTTCCCTCTTTCGCTTCTTTCTCAAGCCAAACTTCAGGCACCATGTTAAATTAGAGTGGGCACAGTGAATATCCTCACTCTGACATCTAAGTCCTGATTTTGGAGGAAATATTTTCTCTTTTCCCAAATTTAGTATAATTTAGCCACAGTTTTATCACTTACAATCTTTATCAGTTTGAAGTGTGCTTTCTATTTCTGTGAATAGTTTCTTCAGGGCCCTTACTATGGAGTTAGTCAAGGCCTTTTCTGCATCTGTTGTGATGATCATGTGATTTCTGCCCTTTAATCTGTTTATGTGCTGTATTACATTTATTGATCTGCATCTGTTGAGAAATCCTTGCATACAAAGAATGAAGCCAACTTGGTCATGATTTATGATCTTATTAATATGTTCTTGAATTTTGTTTGAAAATATTTTACTGACATTTTTCGTTTGGTTGGTGTTTGAGACAGGGTCTCGCTTTGTAGCTCTGGCTGGCCTGAAACCTGCTATGTAGACTAAGCTGGCCTCCAACTCAGAGATTCACCTACTTTTACCTCCTGAATGCTGGGATTCAAGGCATATACCACCATGCCCAATGTTTATGTGTGTGTCTGTGTGTACATACATGTATGTATGTGTGGATGCACATGCCACAACATGCATATGAAGGTCAGAAGAAAACTTGTTGTAGTCAATTCT